ATAAATTTCAATATATTTATTATTACGTGACGTTTCGAGACTGTTGAAGGCTTCGGGACCGAGACTTGCCAGACAAGAACCGCAGCAACGTGAAACATAATACAAGTTGCACCAGCGAGTCCTAAGCTCAGCCATGCGAAGCAGCCAGCGGCTAAGGAACGCGACGTACGAATCAGATTACATCTTGCGTTGGCTGCTTATCTTTATTCTTCACTTTACCTCGCTTCAATTCACTTCATTTCGCTTCAGTGACAACCCTTCGATCGGCATCTTATAACCGCTTCACGATATACATTCGTCCTTGGAAACAGTTTTCGAAGGTTTTAAATGTTCGCGGAACTTTACTTTCGCCAAGAATTTTAACTTTGGTTGCTCACTCCTAAACTATCGACTTGTGTATAATCGTATAACTTTAAAGCTACAGATCAAGCAGAAAATGTAAATCCGTAAATTTTTATATAATATTTAACGCTTAACTTTTATTTTCACGGTAATATGGTAAAATAGGGGGTAAAATTCATAGAAAATACTTTTATTTTAGGAATAATTTTAAAAAATTTTATTCCTTACCATACAATCTTATTCTTATTGTTTTATCCGGTTTTTGTGTTTAGGATTGTTGTACTAAATATTAAATATCCCTTAAAATTAATTAACATTTACTCATTGTCAGTTCCGCTAGTTTGTAAAAAGACTGGCGCTTGAGCACCTTGCGCAACCTGTATTAGTTGAGGTTGAGCTTGAATGGGAGCAGTTTGAATTATAATTGGTTGATTACTTCCACCTTGTACTTGCATACGAATCATCTGAAGTTGTTGAGGCGTTAATTGTATCTGAAATAATATATAAATTTAAATGAATTAGTGCATAATTAAGAGATAAACTTTCTTTATTACTTGTTAAAAAAAATATATATACAGGTATCTGTTGTATTTCTCCACTAGGTGTTACAATTTGTTGTACAATTTGTATTCCACCAGTTTGTGTAGTGGGCGTTTGTTGAGCTTGTTGTAATTGTATAATTTGTTGACCTGATGATTGTTGTGGACTTTGCACTGTTACAGTCTGTGCTGTACTTGCATTAGTACTTTCCTGTAATTAAAGTATGCAAGTAACAAATAGCACATTATTTTACACAATTAGAATGTTATTTTACAAAAAAAAAAAACAATACCTGTTCTACAGGACTACCAATATTTATTGTTTGTATCTGTCCAGTAGAAGGCTGTACAATTTGTATAGGTTGTGTAGTTGTATTACTACTTTGTACATTTTGGTTGGCAGAAGCTTGTTGCTGTGCTAATTGAAAGTAGTAATGTACTTGGTCTGAGTTCATAGAAGTACGTACAGTGCTTTCAGTCTGTGCTTTACTCTGTTTCAATTCATCTCTAGGCACTATATCAATGAGAAAATCAAATTGATCATACTTAGTTATAGCCATTGCTATATCATTTCGCTGAAGTGTACGTCTTTTATTATCTTCTGTATGAACCCATGCCCTTAATGTTAATTCATGTATAAAGATTTCAGCTGCTTTAGAAAATAACATAGGAGCTTCTGCACTAATCATCTTTACATCACCATCCAGCTTCATTATCTTTTTTATCCTAGCCAATGGTAATGATTGTGTTTTCAGGTCCATCTATAAATTTAATAAGTAAACATAAAGTAGTGATAAGTACTAGCTATGAAACATATAAAGTGTTTAATATTCTATTTACAGTAGTTATTTTTTTAATTTCCTCTGTGACTTTTGGCCAGAACTGTGCCAGAGCTTGCTGAGCTTCAGAACTGCCAGGTGATGCAATTTGCAGGTCTCCATTTGAATCTCCTTCAACTTCACTATCCTGGTTACTATATAGTTCATAATAATAAAAGTAAATAACGTATTTATTGTGTTAAAATATAATCATTTATTTAGTATACACTACATTTTCGTATATTAATGTATTGCACTGTCTACAATCTCTGTCAATTATAGAAATTGCTTAAGAAAAAAATGTATATAACCTAATAATTTAGAAGTAAACAGTTTTACTTACGTATTCACGAAGAATACCGACATCTTTTGTAACTATCCTTTGAAATGATATAAAACAAAAGTTTTTAAATTGTAAAAATCATCTTGCCGCTAACAATCAATGTCAAGTAAATACTGATATGTTTATTTTATATACTATTAGCAGAATTCCAAACAAAATTATTGTTTGCACCAGTGATTATACTACCATGATTATAATCAATTTTATTTTACTTCGAACCTCAGTATGTTCACAGCAGATGGCAGTAACGTGCACATTCACGCTTTGTAAACACGGTTTTTAAGTTTGAGAATGTTTTTTGATAGGTAATTAATTTGTCGTGACTACATTTTTAAATATTAACATTTACTGTGACAAAAAGTTATAGATTCGTTTAACTAAAATTGTTCGGAAGTTCGAAGTACAGTAATTGTTATGGTAAAGTATGCTTTTCATACAGGAAAGACCATATAATACATTATTCTCTTCATATAAAAATTGATAATTGAACCTGTAATTATTTTCTGATATACAAATAAATAAATAAACATATTTTTGAAAATATTCCAAGTATGAAAATCTTAAATTTATATAAATTATTTAAACATTTCGAACTGATATACTGTCATTGTATAGACACTGATTCAGGATGTAGTTTGTTTATCAATAGCAATGTTTATCATAAATATAATTTTACAATTTTTTAAGCGAGATAAATAAATAAATAAATAAATATATGTTTGTATATTATTTGCATATTATTATTGTATGTATAAATTATGTTGCATCACATCTCTAAAAGGTTAGGTGTTGGAAGACCAGAATATTGTTGCATTTTTACCAAATAAAACTTTGCAATATGGTATCAAGAATGATTAAAGACTTTAATGAATAAAAAATATACAATAATATAATTTTTAATCTTTATACATATTTGTACATTATATTATGTAAATGCAATAGAAGTGAGACAAAAATACATTATTTACAGTTTTACAATCTTCTCATTCATGCATAGCTTTATAGCTGCAGATACTTTGAAACACTGCATTTAATACTTCTTTAGCTGTATGTGTATCAGAATTACTTATTCTGATAATACTTCCAAATTCTCTAATATAATGATCTAGTTCCATGTCTTTTGATAAATCTTTTGTTGCCATGTATTTATTTGTCAATTGTGATAATTTTAAGAAATCAGAACTAAAAGCTTCATCCAAATCAAATAATTCCAAGGCTGGAGGTGGTAACTCTTGGAAACTTGGTGGAAATACCTTTAAATAAGTCTTTTATATTGTAACTTCAATTTAAAATGTAAAAGTGTAGAAAGTAATAAAAAATTTTACTGATGCTTGTGTGGATGGTAGAGGAGACTCAAAATGTGGTGGAATTAAAGTAAGTGGTTCATGTTTCACATCCAGAGCATCATAAGCTTTTATACAAGCTGGTACTATGTCTAAATTTACTGAATAAAGATGATGTTTAAACAGTTTTGTATATTCATGAGGATTATCCATTATATCCACATCTTGGGTGCAGACTTTTGGATTATCTGCTTGTTGTGTTACATCTGGGATGAAATTATATTCCCAAAACTAAATAGACAATGTTATTATTAACAACAATATATAATTGCTTTGAATGTAAACAATTATTATAACTTAGAAACTTACATCTACATCATCCATTTGAAATTCTTTAACTACAATATCTTTGGATTCAAAAAAGTCAAATATCATTTCTCTCAATGCATCATTCTTTTCTTTCTCAATGTATGTATCAGTTAACAGTCTTGATGAACCTAATACAAGTAATTTTCCACTATTGGTTTCATTGTAATGATAAGCACAAATTGGTCTATTTGTTGGAATGGCTACTGATCCACTGGATAATGCAACTATGGATGGTTGTGCTACATTTAATGTTGCACCATAGGGATACAAGAAGTTCATATCTCTGAAATAAGGCAAATTAAAAATGTTACTTTCATCATTATTTTTGATAATTCATTAATTCAATAAGCATTTTACATAAATTCATTCTGATTTCTTGAAAATATGGATTTATTTGACATTCCTTGTGAAATTAAACATTCCTTTGGATGCATTGTCTGACTATAACTCATACGTATTACACTATCTAAAAATTAAGCAATATTTAAAGGGGCTTGCAATTCTTAATTTTATTTTCATTTGAAACTGTTTTATTGAAATATTATACCATTGTTCACCATTATACCAAATTCCTCCAGTAAAAAATTTACATTAGTATTTGACTTTTTTTCACCACCTTCGCCGAGCATAACTAAAACGTTTCCACCGGAATTTAAAAATGTTCTAATAGAATTCATTTCTAGCTCTGTGAATTTATTTTGTGGTCCTGGTAATATCAATACTTTGCCTGTTGATAATGATTCGTCCGTCAAGACATCGTTGTTTCTAGAGTACCATATAAATTTTGAAAAGTACATTTTGAATTAAATTAAAGTATGTTTTTGTAAATGAGTTAACATACTCCACAAATTTCCATTTCGATTTCAATCTTCTTTGCAACACTTTAAATTCTTCGTTCAGTTTTCTCTCGTTTTTCGAAGCGTCAAAAATAATGACGTTCAAACTGTTGTTATTGTCATTGCCGCCAAAAATCGAGCTCATAGTAATTGTCACTCTATTATTATATTTCAAGAAGTAGTTGTTAAATAAATTTTCAAAGCAGTTCCTGATAACTCGTTTCTACTTTTATATTGTGTAATAATCAAAACGTGCTCTGAAATGTATGCTTATATACAGTTTATTGTTTCCGTAGCAACTATGAACATATCAAACTTTCAAATGTAATTGGTTGAGGATAGAGGCATCAGGGGCGTAATACAATAAGATAATATTTATTATTTTTATGCTTTATTATGTTATGCCAATGAATCCTAA